CCCCCAAGAATTATATTGAGAATACCAAGGAGGTGAGGTAAAATAGACAGAGATTGTGTTGGCAGCTGAACAGGTCCGAATGTGAGAGAAGAATCAATAGATTAGTTAATCAGATACGCAAACAAGCCATTTGGGAGCCATGACTCCTAAGTTATTTCCAGCTCTAAATCTAAGATCCTAAGAAGAGAGAGGCACAAACAAAGTAGGCAACAGAAACATATTTGTTAGACTAGAAAATAAATTACTAAGAGTACCAGCTTTGGAGTTGATGGATCTATGTACAAACGCCAGCTACGCTGCTTGATAGCTGTGTAAACTCTTGCGTTTCAGGTCCTCATCTGTAATCTGGGGATAAAATCACCTAGCTTGTGGGGTTGTTGTGCAGATTAAATCCAATGAGATTATCTAAGTAAAGCCCTTAGTAAGTGCTTGACACGCAGTGGATGCTTAGTAAATAATAGCTTCTTCATTTCTCTTCAACTGCCAAACTCTGTCCCATTCTTCATTCAAGAGCCATTGAAAAATATTTATTAATAACTACTTTGTGCCTGGAATTGTTCTAGGCTCTTGGAATGCACCAGCAGACAAACAGGGAAAAACAATCCAGTCCTCAGGAAGTTCATATTCCTCAATTAAGTCTCAATTCTTCCAAGTCTGAATTAGAGGCCTCTGACTCTCTGTCCTCACTTCTCCCCTCAGGGCATTACTATACTGCACTGATGCTGCTTGCCTAACTCTTTCTCTTCCCATAGAGTGTGAGCACCATGAGGGCAGATTCTATGCCTGTCCTGGCACCACTGCATCACCACTTCCAAACATGGCGCTTGGCATTTAATGGATACCCAGTAACTATTTGCTGAACCAATTGATGATGGATGGGTGGCAGGTGAGTAGATGAATAATGAGAGTGAGCTGTTCAGTGTTCCTGGTTTGCTTTATATCTCACTTCCTCTAAGCCAAAAAAAAAAAAAAAAAAAAGGCTTAGCTTTGTCCAGAGTCTTCACTTCTTAGAGAAATCTGAAGAATCTATGCAGGCACAAGGAGCATGGTGCCCAGTGCAAAGGCATCTGACAGTTAAGTTAAGAAATGGAATCTTCCCTGCTCTTTCTTCCCAGTCAGATGCATAAAGGCTGGCTGTATAACTTGTGTTGCTGGATCCCAAGAGTGGGTCACAGGAGTTGATGGTGGGCTAGTGGTCTGGGAGCTGTAATCCTGCCTTCTACTTGTGTATCTAGAATTATGGCCAGCTGAGATGCATGTCTGAACTCTAAAATTATGCCTTTGGATCATCGTGACAGGAGCTAGTGTGGTGTTGTGGTTAGGAAAGTGGAATTTGGAATTAGACCTGGGTTTTAAACCTGGCTCTGCCATTACCAGCTGTATGAGTTCAGATAAGCTACTTCTCTGAGCTTTAGCTTTTTCTCTGAGCTTCATCTGCCTCTTAAGTATTCGTAAGGCACTTAAAACAGAGTAAATACTCAGTACATAAATGGTTGTTATTATTATTACCTACACACTGCACATTTCACTAGGACATCCAGAACCAGTGAGGTCCCCTCTGTGTACTGATTCTTACAGACAATCTCTGCTGAGTCCCTTTTACCACAAAAAAGTGAATGACACACCTGTCACCTAAGAACAACATCTATCCACAGAGAAGAGCTTAACATGTCAATCCCTCATTTTACAGCTATGGAAACTGAAGGCCCAAAAGGTGACAGTGTGTCTTAATGTCACATGGTGAGTTAGTAGCAGAGTCAGCGCTGGTCCCCTTTCCCTCTGCTGGTGTCAGTTCGCGTTCAATGGAGGGGTTTCCACTTATGGGAGATGTTTCATATTTCTTCATTGTCCTGGCCAAAAGTAATCAGTCTACTAAAAGCATCTATGGGGTAAGCACAGAAGCCTCTCCCTTCATCAATGTCATACCTTGGAAAACTATCTTCAGTATAGATAACAGAAAGAATAAATATTTTTGTTGAGAGAAAAAAATGAAGACAACGGTCAAAGGGGATCATGTAATGGGTTGAGTCAGGGAAGAAAAAGAAAGCATTTTTTCTCTCTCCTCTTTTTCTCCAAAACAGTCTTTATTTAGAACTTGTACAAGAGCCAATTTATTTGATATGGAAAAAATGTGAAAGTAGCAAAATACACACACATGCACATACACACACACACAAAGAGGTATTTGCGTTGGAGTTCAGAACTCCAATTACCAAGAGATAAAGGAGTTGAAGTGGTAGGTTGACTTGGAATGATGTTTTACTTTCTTGAGATTCTCAGAGAACATTCAGGTCAGAAAGTAGAAGCCAGCCCAGCCCAGGTCTCCAATAAATTCCCTGGGACTCAAGAAAGACCAAGAGGAAGCCTAGTGAAGCCCTCCATATACCCCTTGTGCCTGTCACATAGTGAGGACTAGAGAAATACTTGCTGAGTGAATGAAAGAACAAATGGTACATAAAGGCATGGACCGGAATAGCGGTGGTTTTGGAAGCAAATTGGCACAGGACTTGGTTTTTTCATCAAGCGGTTAAGGCCTTCAGCACTAAAGTGTGTCTACAGGAAAGGGACCGGGTCTGAGTCATCCCTGAAACCTCCAGTTCCCAGGACACACTCTGGCACATAGAATGTTCCCAATTTGCAAATTGAATGAGTAGTCATATGAGTGTAAGAGAACTTGGAGATTCCTGGGCCTGAGACATTTTAGAGCAGTGGCTATTAAACTTTAACCAGCACCAGAGTCATCTGGAGAGGTCCTGCACTCAGTTTCTGATTCAGTCATCTGGGCTGGGGCCTAAGAACCTGGCCTTTCTACATACCCAGTTGATGTTGATGCTGCTGGTCAGGGGCCCCACTTCAAGATCTTGATTTAGTGCAGTGGTTCTTAAACTTGGCTGCAGGTTATAATTACCCAGTGAGATTTTAAAAGTCCTAAAGGTCAGGTCTTATCCTTACAAACAAAACCAATACCTGTTGGGGACAGGGGAGGGGATGTAAGTGAGACACAGGGGATTTCAAAATGCCCCAAGATTTCATAATATGCAACTGAGTTTGAGAACCACGAATATAGTGAAACCTCCTCCCTGTAAATTGGAGGCTTCTGAAGACCAGAAGGGGTAACCAGCCTAAGTTACCCTATGACCAGCCTAAGATCATAGAGCTAGTTAGCACTTAACTGAGACTAGAAGTCAGAATGATTTTGCTGCTTCAGTTTTCTTTCCGCCATTCCACACTTATCAACCCATGTCAGCTCCCACAGGCTCAAAACTCAGGGCAAAAACTGAAAGCTGTGTTTATACTGAGGTTTTAAGACAGCTATTCTTTCTTCTCTCCATTGTTTTATGAAGAAATTTTAAGTGGATGCATATTTATAGAACTTTACCCCTCTAGACAAGTGAGGAGACGGAAGAGACAGGGTTATGGAATATTTTCAAGGCAAGATGATCCTTAATATTTTAAGTACATTCTCAAATACAAACCAAGTGCTCCCTCTGAGTTCTTAGACAGATGTTCTTCATCTCTATGTCAATGAACGGGAAAGGCTTTGCTTGTGATGTGCACGTTAATTGCTGGCATGTAAAAGGAAGTGCTGGTAAAGTGTTTGAAAGTGGTTCTGTCTCTTAAAAAGATTAAAAGTTTCCTCCAGAACTTGGTTTCTATTAACGATTGGCTCAGTGAATATCTTCAAGCAGACAGAGCAGAGACTGTGTCTTATATAATCTTCGAACCTAAGAAAGAGCCACAAAAGGCCATAGAAGCATTGACTTCAACATTTTCATCACACAGAAGATGAAACTGAGGCTCAAAGAGATTGACTGATTGATTTAACATTAGTAAGTGGACTGGTTGGGACTAGACACAAGATGTCTGACTCTGAGCTAGTGTTCTTCTGAATACTCAGAATGTTCCCTACTGATGTCTGTTGCACACAGTAGATGTTCAAAAATCTTTGGTGATTGACTTCATAGACTCTCGGTACCCAAATTAGATGACTACGGTTCCTTCACTTGTTAGCTTAAAGCAAAAGTTGGAGTCACATCTTTAATTGAATACTGGTTAAGTGTGCTGAATTAGGAGTCAGGACAGAATTCCAATCCTGACCTCACCACTTCCTAACTGTGTGATTTTGGATACATGACTTCACAACTCCTACCTGCAGTTTCCTTTGCAAAATGAGAAGATAATAAGGCTGTGGTTGTGGAGAGGATGAAAGTAGTAAGAGACGCAAAGACCTTAGCTCATTGTCTGGCATATAGGAAAAACACTAGTGACTTCATTATAAGGTGGCTTCTCTCATAAAACAAATCCTGAGGATGTTTGAGGAAGAGGTGAAAAGAGAGGTGGCTTGAGAATTGAATATTAAGGACAGGCACTTAAAAGCAGTTAATATTCAAAAGAATCATAGAGCTCTAGAGCTGTCAGGGCCCTTAAGGATCAAATGGGTTTGAACTTCTCTTCTACCACAGAAAGGAAACCAAAACAAGAACCGTGACTGGTGATGTTCACCTCCCAGCAACTGTCTCAGGCAAATACCCAGAAACATACTCAATTCCCAGCCAACCTGCTATGACCTCACCCCTTCTCATTCACTGAAAAAGCAATCACAATGCATGAATCTTCTTCAGTTTAATATAAAAAGGAAATCATTAGCAAATTTCAGTTCTTTCACTTTCATTAGTAACAAATGACTTTCTCATTGCTAATCTCATCCAACCTCGTTCATTTTACTGTTGGAAAGACTAAGCTTTAGACAGGTCATGACACAGAGTCATACATTAGAGTTGTCACCAAAATCCAAGCCTCCTGGTTCCTTGTCCACTGCTCTTCCCACAATATCAACTCTGCCTTGTTAAGACAACTCTACACCTAATGTCAGGTTACAAATCCCTAGAAGTGAGTCTGGCTGTGATGAACCTTCTTCCAGTTCAGGCCTGTCTTACCCTCCTTAAACCCTTCTATAGCCCACCCATGGGATCATCTCCCTCTCCAGAGAGTGCACTTACATGTCTGTGAATCTTCTGTTGAGGTGTAGGATGGAGGCCACATCCGCCTGGAGAGGAGGGTCCCGAACCACTTTGTACTGCAGGGGCTTACACTTTAGGCAGAGAGGGCTGTCTGGGATGGAGGTCAACATGGCTGCATCAATCTCCAGGTGCTCATCCAACGTGTATATCTGGATGCCATACACCTCCTCGCCCACATCCCGCACTTTGATGGTCAGTGGGACATCACAGAAGACGTTTTGAGGGCCCAGGGAGATGTTCTTCCCACTGATAGTCAACAGTTTGATGTCATTGACAGCCCCACTAGAGTCCCAGTCAGTGGAGACAAAGGTCACCCAGATGGTCAAAGACTCAGGGATCAATGGGTAGCGGAATTCCAGTTCAAGGTAGCAGCCTTGTGGCTCAGGGCAGGCTGGAGGGACCGTGTGTGGGTTGACAGCTGAATTTGGGCTCCAGGTGCGGACACTGGACTTACAGGGCTGTTCAACATCTGGATGACCTATAGAGAAGAGATGAGGACATGAGCTCCTGAAAGACCTTCAGTCTGATCCTCAGTTTCCTGTAGACCCTAGAAAAGCTTGGCCTGACTAAAACTCAGAGGGGAAAAAGAGAGGAAAGATTCTTGATGTCTTAGCGAATCTACTGTATACACAGCACTCAGCTTGTCCCCACCCTTGCTATCCAGATCTTGGATGAATCACCAGACATTTGGTCAAAACTACATTCAAGTAAGTGTCTTACTATTGAGTTAATGCCCAAACTTTCCTTCCTAATCTCCCACTTGTAGGCTTTGCTGCCTCAGACGAAAAGAAGGAAGGGCACACATATGCTAAACCGCCACTATGAGCCCTGAACTTGTTTAATTCTTGCAAAAACTCATTTCAGAGGTGAGGCAGCTAAGGCTCAGAAATGTGGAGTGAACTGATCACAGTCTCACAGCTTGAAGTGTAAAGGTCAGCATTAGAACCACTTTTGTCTCATCCTGAAGTTCGTACTCTTTGTTCTCCCTATCAGATGCAGGAGTCACTGAAACAAACTAGCATTCCTGTGGTATTGCCTTTGGTACAACTTGCTTGGAATGACAGGAGGGACAGAAACTTCCACCAAAGAGGAGGTGAGCACAGACGGCTTCTGCCCCTTGGACTGAGGATTCCGGGAGGAAACTGTCTAGAACCATGAATGACAGAGCTGGAAGGCAGCCCTGGAGCCATCTTATCTCTCCTCCTCCTCTTCTCCTCATGAGGTCATTCCATACCACTGAGCTTCTCAGAGCTCTGTCCAGTCTGACTCAGGAAGGGGAGGGTTGTGTGAGGAGGGAGGAGAAGGAAGGAGGGATTCTTCTACCCTTTCCCCAGGGAGACGATGCCTCATCCCCACTGATCAGCCTGCAGCGACTTCTGAATTTTTCTCTGCTGAGATCATTAGTCCTAGACCCTCAGAGAGCTCTCCTTTGCACTGCTGAAAAAAGTAATCAGGACTCAATGTAGCGATTGGCTCTAATTTGTTTAAGGGAGTCTAGCAAGAGATACAGCTCAGCTGGTGTGGGTAGGATGGAGCATCTGATCTCAAGTTGTCCTATTAGCCACATTATTGTTTTTTTCTTTAGCATCAGTGGTTGATGGGGGGTGGGGATGCTGGACATTTCTAAAGCAAAAGAGAAAAAGCAATCTTTGTCTGAAAAGGATTTGTGGTAATGTTACAGCATAACAGGAGTCACCACAACATGAACACTAGAAAGCCATTTTGGTGGAAAAGTTATTCCAGGGAAGGCAGTAAATGCCTCCAATCCCCTTGCATCTGCCCAGCCAAAGGAGAAGAAAGAAGACACTAAGTGGAGATGGAGAAGAGAAGAGAAGAAGAGGAGGATAAAGAAAATTCAAAAGATTTTTTTAGATATGAACATTAGAACCGGAAGAGATGGATATAACTACAAGATACCCTCCACCTCTCCTTAGCTAGGTTCATTCATGACTTACAGCAAATGCTGGCTAGAAGCAACCAGTAGTATAAGTCTAAGGCACAAAGAAGAGCCCTACCTAAGCTGACGCCTTTCTTCCTGTCAAGTCTCTAACCCAATGAGTTCTTGACTCTCTTGATTTTGTGGGTTGTTGGCACACATATATCACTTATTCATCCAATAAGCTTTATTTAGGGCAGCATTTTAATACACATGAAATACATTCTCTAGCCATTAATTTATTCATCTAATTGTCACCCAAATCCTGTGAGACAGTTTTCCTTTTTGTCTCGATTTTGTAGCTCTGTTTCACTCAATGCCATATAGCCTTTGCTTAATACAGTGCCTGGTCCAAAGACAGTGAACATAGTACACCTTCAATAAATATTTGTTAAATGACAAATCTTCTATTTTGTTAACATGGAGTTAAAAAAGAAGTTAAGGTTCCACGGAATATTAGAGCCTGCTGTGTTGTGGTGAGTGCCAGGTGAACATTCCACCCCCTCCATGGGCTTTTCCTGGAATTGGCAAGGGATGGAGCAATCTTTCTCCCTTCCTTGTCAGTGGTGGGAAGCCACAGGAGAGAAAAGATGACAAATATGTTTGGCTCATGCTTTCTCCCTGGTTTCTTGTTAATCAACAGAGGGACCAAATGCTTTCCAAAGGACAGGAAGGTGAGCCTGGTCATTATGCTCAAGTGAGTAAACAGGAATAGAAATCTTAGCAAAGCTTGTGCTTGTCTGGTTGTCAGAGACAATCTTGTAGTTATAAAAAAGGAGCCTCAAGAGTCATTGAGTCCAACCCATCACCAATGCAGCAATCCCTTGAATCATACCAGGCTTCATGAATTGACCATCCTCCGTGTGCTAGGCACTGGGCCAAGCACGTTACATGCCTCAGTTCTTCTCATCCTGGCAATGAGTCTATGATGCAGATCTTAAGAAACTCATTTTACAGAAGAGGAAACTGAGACTCAGATGGTTAAACAATTCCCTGGTGGGGAGTAGAATATTATGTGATACTGTTGGTTCAGGCAGCATGCCAAGCTTTGAAGCAATGGAAGTTGGGTTAAAACATCAGCTATACAGCTTCTCATTGTGTCACCTACTGTAATGATACCTACCTCACAGGGGTGCTGTAAAACTCAAATGGGATGAGATATTTCATAGATGCTCACAAATGTATTAGCTCTGATCTGAACATAAAGAGGGATTAACAAGGAAAAGCTTGGGAGGAGGAGATATTCTAAGCAAAGAAAACAGTTGAGAGAAGATGTGAACTAAAGTGACTACAGTTTTGAGTACAACAGGAGAGCAGCAAATGATGAGTCTGGCAAACTAAGCAGAATCAAGATTATGAAGGGTCTTATATGTCACGTTAAGGAAACAGAATTGTATACTGAGACAGATGAGGAGCTACTGAAGAATTTTAAGCAGACAAGTGAAAGTTGTCTTTTAGAAAAACCACTGTTTAGAGTCACAAATGCTTTCCATCCATCTATCTATTGACCCATCCATCTATCTATCTATCCACCCACCCATCCATCCATCCATCAAAAGAATAATTATTGACTGCCTGGTCTGTGTCCAGTGTTAGGCTAGTCTCTGGGGAAACAGGTTTCTACAGACATGGTCTCTGCCCACAAGGAGCTTCTAGTCCAATGAAACTAGTTAGGAAACTGCTATACTAATGCAGACAATACACAACTGTGGACAAAGGAACATCAAGGGCGATGAGCACAAATCAGAATCTCTAAGGAGGAAAAATGGACACAGTAGGGAAATTGATTGGATGTGTGGTGGTGAGCAAGGGAGAAGGGCTAGAAAAAGGAAAGAAAGAGAAGAAGGAAAGGAAGGAAGGAGAGAAAGGAGGGGGGAAGAAAGGAATGAAGGAAGAAAGAAAGGAAGGAAGAATGAAAAGTGCAAAAGTACTGTTACTGCATTATAAACACATATCCTTTTGTATATATGGTGACTACATGAAAAGGTACATGTTTATATAAGCTGTCCACTAGAAATGGGGCCATATATGTGTCTGAAATATATTTATACATACTTATGCTGATTTAAATTTATATTTATAAAGATCTATACAGATGTCTCTTACATATCTTTGTGTCTATACACTGCAGCTGTTGACACAAATATGTCATAAAAACTTGGTGCCAAGTTTTTTCCAGGTGAATACTTCAGTACACCTGAAATATTCTGGGCAGAAAAATGGGGAAAAGACTCACACACATAAGAAAAAATGAAAACAGCTAGTGCTATCTGTTAATCTCTCATAGAAAATCCAATGCTTGTAATATATTACATGCTTGCATTAGTGATCTTAATTGGGATATAAGTCGGTCAGATCTAACTGTATAATTACTGGGCTACAAGTGTAGCATGGTATAGAATATCTCAGGAAAAACTCATCTATGAAATATAGTTTTTGCTAACAAGATAGGAAAGCACAGTTTCTTTTGATGATAATCACTTTCTGTAGACAATGGTGAGAATTTCTGTGACTATTTACTGGAAGTTCATGAAACGGAGTTAATGAAAAATAGTGGATATTCAATAAATATGTGTTAAATGAAGAACCTTCCATCTTGTTAATATGGAGTTAAAATAAAGAAGTTACAACTCCATGGAATATTAGAGTTGGAAAGGACATTCATTCTGTGGATAAGATGCTATCTTCAGAGAAGATCACTCAAGAGCACGGAGCATCTTGATGGCCAGGCTGGGACCAAGATCCATTCCTCTTCATCTTCCCCCAACCCCACGCTCTTTCCCCCTAAAGATACGTCTGGCATCGCTCATGGATCTAGGAGTTTTATGTTAGTTTGGGAAGTCCAAAAACTTAAACACACAAAGACAAATAGGATGAAAATGAGTTGAGAAATAAATTACAGAGTTTGGCTCATGGAAAAGTTTATTTCTTCAAGGATATTAAAAGGGTCTGAGCCAAACGGATCACAGAGCCTGTAATAGGATGCTCTAAAAAAAGAACAGTGTCTTTTCCTGGCCTGAATGTACTAAATTTACATATCCTGAAGGAAAACCCAGGGCAGCTGGGTTTCCTTGGAGGCCTGAGTCAGCTCAGGGAACCAAGGAGCTCAGCGCTTCCAGTTTAACTCCCTTCTGCGTATCACGTGTTAAGTGGGTCAGGGACAAACCGGGAACAGACTTAACCAATTGACAGTTGGATTGGATGGAGGTGTGGGGAGATGTCTGGAAATTATTTCATTCTCACAAGTGGTAGCACAAACTATGATGATTTTAGCCAGAGAAGTCTCAGGGGAGAGCCCTGTTGGTTCTACCTCTCAAATATCTCTCAATTCCATTGTCTTCTCCCCACCTTCACCGCCGCCAGCCTCATCCAGGCCACCACCATCCCTCTCCTGGATTCCTGCCATAGCCACCTAGCTGCTCCTCCCCAAATCTCTTCTCCACAGTCACCCAAGCAATCTTTATCATATGCATATCTCACCACATCCCAGACCCCTGCCAAGGCACATGGTGTTTCCCACTGCCCTCAGTTTAACTCCAAATCCATCTTCATCTGGTTAATATATCTCTCACCTAGTCCAACCTCTCCCCACTTCACATCTTGCTCTTCATGCCTCAAACCCATTTAAGTTCTCTCATTACTGAAGAGCTTTTGTTTATGTAGGTTGTACCTATTTGTAGTTAGCATATTGTAAATTAAAACTGAGAAACTTCAAAACACAAGAACACAGAAGCGTGCATTCCATTAGCTATCAGAGCAGTAATAACATCACGCTCCATGCAGCCACTGGAAAGCTCCACTGTACTCTCAGGAGAGAATGAGAGTGAAAAAGGTAGATGATGTCATAGCATTATTACAAAAATAATTTCAGACTTTGAGGACACCCTAAAAAGTTTCCAGGAACACTATAAGCTCCAGATCACCCTAAGAAAACAACCACTCTCAATATACCAAACTTCTTTCACATTCTCCAATGCACCTTGCTCACCGGAGTGGTGGCATTTCCCAGGTAGCCTGAGTCTCAGTTCTGGGCAAGATCCCCTTCTTACTGGTCCCCCAGCATCTGTACTGCTATCAGCATGGGCCTCAGCACACCCGATCGTAATCGTCCATTTACTCATCGGACTCCCCTATTAGATGGTCCACTCTGCCTTGTCCATGTGCCCAGGCCCAGCACAGTGCCTGGCACAATGTTCCTATGGTGGTCATAGATGAGACTGGATCACCCTCTGCCTGTACACAAAGTGTTTTCAGGTGCAAGAGACGCACACTTTCTTCTGTGAGAACCCAAGGTGGGTTCAGTTTGGGTGGAAAAGTCACGCTTGCAGATTTCAGGAAGAACTTTCTAACAACTGGAGCTAGAACAGGTGGGCCAAGGAAATACATGAGCTGGTGCTAGGAGAGCCCCAGTGAGGCAGGGCACAAGGGGGATTCCTGCACTGGGTGGGGATTAGGGCTGGATGACCCCAGGCATCCCTTCTGAGTCTGACAGACTGTGATTCTGTGAGGCTGAACTGAGGGTTTCTCCCAGACATCCCTCTTGCTTTACATTCCAGATGAATTTGTTTAGAGTTCCCAAGTTTAACTCTCATTTTTATTTTAAGCTACTTCAGAAGACAACAAAGTACAGTACTGTCATTTTTCTCCTTCACTTTCCTCTCTGATCCCTCTCCCTTGCTTTATTCTATCTATGGCTTTTTCTTTTCAACCTTCTTTCCAAAAATATACAGGAAAACGGAGGAGTTCTCACTGAACCTCAGTGAGGAACCAGATTCTGCTCCCTCTGATGGACTAGTGTCCCCACCCAGGGACTGCTGGCATGAGCTGACCTGCAGAGAAACAAGAGGGAGAGGGGCGAGGGGCTCCGAGTGTAAGCATCTGAGGGCAAAGGAGGGTGAGATGGAAAACTGAGAGGAGAACATGGGGTCTCTGCCAGACTGGCTTCAGGAACTAGATCTGAACCCTAGAGAAAGAGAGACTGCAGAAGGGAACTGGATAGGCAATTTTCCATGAGATTCCCTAATTTCCAAGTAACCTTGCCTCAGGGCCAAGTGACAGTGCAGCAAAACATTGGGCGAAAGGCACTCCCTTCATTTCTGTAGAAAACCGAGTGGATCTGGCAGTGAAGGGTACTGTGAGGGAGCACAGAGATCGCTGCCCCCCACCCCCCGGGAAGCCTGGGAGACATCTCCACCTCTGAGCAAGAAAGGGCGTGGCATGGGAGGAGCCCACAACAGTGGCAATCATCCAGCGCTTCCTTCAAGTGTCTTGTTGACAAATGGATCCCAAAAAGGAGGATAATGGCAAAAAAAAACCAGAATAAGTTGTGACACATATGATAATGTCCTAGGTATTCCTAGAAATAACAGAGGAACAATCAAAGACTACCAATGCCTTGAAGCCCCCAAATATGTGTATTGATTCTAGGGTGACCTTGCTTGTACCCACAGGCTGTCGGGGTCTGGAGGAATCCATAAACACACAAACACACACCGTGTTTTTATCAGGCATGTGGCTTTGAGCACGTATCTCAGTGCCTTTGTTTCCTCATATGAAAAGTGGGATGACATACCTAGGACAGTGCAGGTGCTCAAAGGACATCTGTTGAATGAATGAATGTATGGATACTGGACTTGATGTTGGGCAAAGGTTACAAACTTCCAGTTACACGATGAATAAATTCTGGAGTTCTAATATACAGCATGGTGACTATAGTTAACAGTAATGCACTGTATACCTGAAAGTTGCTAAAAGAGTGGATCTTTGTGTTCTCAGCAAAAAATTAAAAGGTAATTGTGTGAGGTGATGGGCGTGTTAACTAATCCTATTGAGTTAATCACTTTGCAATATATACGTGTATCAACTCATCACATTGTGCACCTTAAACTTACACAAGGTTGTATGTCAATTCTATCTCCATCAAGCTAGAAAAAAGACAAAAATAAAATAAAAATACTGGCTTTGCAGAGCAATCTCAAGATCAAATGAGATGGTACGTGGGAAAGACCATTAAAATCATAAAGAGTTGTTCTTTGCACACCCAACTTGCAAACGAGCTTCCAGGGTGGCTTACCTTCTGCTTCCCGAGGACTCCAGTGTCCTGATGGGCCGCAGGGCATCGGGGATGAGGCGTTGAAGGCATACTGCACCAGGATTCTCCCTTCCAGGCAAAGGTCACATGCTGATCCCAATTCTCTAGGAGGCCAAGGAAAGAAGGAAAATGCACTGACTTAGGAACAGGTGAATGAGCCACTGACTCGACTATAACAAAGGCAATAGGGCAGAGGACACCACAATCCTATGTTACTCTACTTCCTCTCTATCCATGCCAAAGCTTCCAGAATATGACTATCAATGAAATTCCTCCACACTGCCCAGCAAGCACCTTGTTTGAGCCTAAGCAGCTTCTGTTCTGATGGTGGATACACTTCTTTAATTTCAAGCAGTGCGGAATCAACAGGCCAAAGATTCAAAACTTGCACTAATCTTAATTTCATCAGGCATCCAATGCTCCACTGAGAATTTGATGTGTGGTTGTGAGAACATCTTTTGCCCCATTTGGCCTCAAATTTTATTCTTTGAACGATATTTATCAGGTACCTACTATGTGCCAGGTAACATCCTATGTCTTAGGTATTAAATAAAAAGAAAGCATGGTTCAGTTCCTTCATCTGAAAATGAGTAGGCTGAACTAGATGATGCAGAAAGAACCTTCCAGTCCTGACCTTCTGGGGATGGATGAGCCACTCCTTGGTTGAACAGTCAAAAGCAGTTTCCTTACCATGCCATCTAATTCATTTTAGCAGGTTTCCAAGGGGTGAGCTAATCTCTCAAAGAGACCAGGCCCAGAAGTGGAATATTATGGTGACTCCTTCTACTGTCTAGTGTCTTGTGTCTCTGAATTCAATCTCCTTCTAGTCACAACAGCCTCCAGGATCCTACTTGTCATCCAGATTTGGCATCTGTTTAGGAGGCAGCTGTGGGGAAGGGAGAGGAATAAGCCTTCTCCTTCTGTACTGTTGTGGACCCGAAATTCTGCAAATCTGACAAGCTTTGCAGAGGTACTAGAAAGGGAAGATGTCAGGAATGTTCCAGGCCAACCCATTATTTCTCAAAATGCAACAGTCCTGCCAAGATCTCTTTCTTCATTCCTAGAAGAATCTCTGTCCTTTGGCTACCTGAAAGGACACAATGGCAGAGCCTTATCTCAAACTTTAGGGCTTTCCCTTCACAGAGAAGCTCTGTAGCCCCTATGCCCACATGGTAAGGAAGAGCATGCTTGTGAGCATTGCAGTTTTCTGGTGCTCCCCATTCCTCCTCCACACAGCTTCCAGGGAGCTCATCTCCAACCCTAAATCTGAACAGGTCATGCCTCGGCTTATCTGCTTAGATAGTGGGCAACATATGTAGCTGAAGGACTAGATGGATGGATAGATGGATAGATGGATGGATGGATGGATGGTTGGATGGATGGATAAATGACATTCACTCAGACATGTTGCTAAGACTCATGATTAACCTAGACGAGGCCATCAACTTGCAGATTTTGCATCCTCATCTTTAGCATTGTAAATACGAAACCACACATAGGTAGAAATTTTGCAAGCACGCTAATATTCAGTGATAGGAGAATGATTAAATAGCATAAGGTTAATCTTCTCAAGGGAATAATAAACAGCTATTACAAAAACATTTATAAAGATTATGGAAATTTCATGGAAAAAGTATAAACTATAATGTTAAGTGAAAAAGCCATATTCAAAACTGAATCTAAAGCAGCATCTCAATGCTGTTCAAATAACCTTAATGTGACAAAATATTGTTGGCAGTAATTTCTGGGTGATGGAACATAGGATGATTTTTCACCCCATTTTTATTCCTTCTGGTTTTCTGAATTTTCTATATATTTTGAATATGTATGAGTTACTTCTGAACTAGGAATAATATTAATCATACAAATATACTTGTAGGCAGGGAATAAGGAGTGGGGAGAGAAACTTTCTCAGTACCACTGTGGAGGGCAGAGTTCCATTACAATGACCACAATCTGTGCATGACTCTGAGTCACATGACTGGCTTTAAGATGACAATGAGATTACAAACGTCCTGGGAGGGAATCAGCAACCACACTGATCTTAATGGCCATTGAACCTTTCTTTCTATTTCTTTAGATGCTTTATTTTAGATAATACACATACAGTCACCTGCACTTCACTGAGTTCTTGACATATCCTAGGTTCCCAATAAATACGTTGATGAGGGAACAAACCATTATCCATCGGACAGGAAATGTGCCTTGTTTGCACAGAGCTCCACAAAGTGCATTCCCTCATGTTCATTCATTGATTCACGTGTTCATTCATTGTTTCATTGATTCATTGAATGGATAGTCATTGAACAGCCTCTGGTACTAGCACTGTACAGGTACTAGCACTGTACAAGCACTAGCACTGTACACTGACCACCAACAGTGAGTAAATTAGATGTGGTATCTGCCATCATAGAACTTGCAGACTAGTGGAGGCAACAGTCCATAAACAAATAGGTAAACAGATATAAAATTACAGACTCAATAAGTTCTGAAGGAAAGTAAATGGATGATATAGGAGACAATAAGGGGGGGACAGAGCACACTGGGCTAATTAAGATTGGTGCAGTCATAGAAGACCTTAGTGAGGGGATGCCATTTATGGGGAGAGCTAAATGACACAAAAGGATGACACAAAGAGTGGATGTAAAGCATTCCAGGTGCAGTCTCAAGGTATGCACAAGATCTAAGTAGGAAAAAAGGGCTTAGTCCACAGGGATCCAGGAAGAAGCCTGAGTGGCAAGAGTCACCAATGAAGGAAAGAGCAGTAAGAAAGGCAGTTGGACACGTAGGCAAGGGCCAGATTAGGGACGGTCCTGCAGACTACGTGTAGATTACACATAAAATAATGAGAAGCTACTGGAGAGTTGTAGAGCATGGGGTGATATGTTCTGATTCACATTTTTAAAAGATCAGGCTGCATGCTGAATGAAGAATGGATTGGGGAGAGAAGGACAAAAGTCAAAGCAAAGTCAGCAACTAAAAAGCAGTAGTGTGATTCTGGGTGTGGTGGGTGATAGTCCCATTTTATAGATTAGGAAACTCAGAATCAAGAGTACTAAGTAATCACACCAAGGTCATAGCTAGGAAAGTCAAGCAGTCAATATGGGCTTTACCAAAATCAGACGGCAAATCCAGCACATCCAGAGAGTGTATAATACATGTTTCTTACCTTAGAGTTCTTATTTATTTGATTTTTATGGCCACCTACACACACACACACACACACAATGAAATTGCAGAAGTACAGGATACTAACACTGGAAGAGACCAACTTTCTTACCCAGGTTCCATGAGAATCAAAGCTTAAAGCTCCAAGTCTGGGCTGTTGAACCAGCAGTCACCAGCCACATGTGGCTATTTAAATTTAAAATGAAATAAATTTAGAAATTCAGTTCCTCAGTCACACTTACCACATTTCAAGCATTCCACAGCCACAGTCGGCTAATGGCTACCATATTGGATAGTGCAGACACAGACCACTGCCATTACTGCAGAAAGTCCTATTTGACAGCGCTTCTGTAAGGCATCCACAGATGAGTTAACTTCTCTCGAATGCATCTAGAATGGTACTAGTTATGTACCATCCTTGGAGAACTGAGGAAATAGTCACTCGGGTCTGTGTTCTGAGATTCGGAAGAGGAATCTTGGCTGAGAAAGGCTAGATATCCTCTGGCCTATAGATCAGAAAACTGAGGCTGAAGAGGAAAAGGAAACAGATGACATCGCAAAGACATCAGACTTGGGTCTCTCAGTTCCCAGACCAGTACTCCTTCCAATATACCACAGTTGATTTTTCAGATAACTGAAACCATCCAGTCAACACATGTTTGCAAGACAGATAAAAATAAAGGAGTTAAAAAAGCCAAGGGTGGCCTTGAATTATTTATTCAGTTGCCCATGTGTGAGGACACAGGCTGTGGGAGGATCTGAATATGTTTTCTTAAGGAAAACCCTTGTATTCTCTTAGACTACAGATGTGAGGAACAGCAGGAGGACATGAGGATGGCCAGGGGCAAGAGGTTGGCATTGATGGATGTAGTGGAAAACACCAGAGATTTTGCAGGGAAAGAGAATTTTCAAGTAACTGAACAGCCCTGGAAAACTTTGTACAAGATGGAGCTAATATTTCTTGAACATAGAATGTGCGTGCTAGGCATATCACAGATGTCATCTTGTTGAATTCCCCTCAAAAGCCAGATGAAGTGGGCACAATTAACACCTTTTTTATGAAAGAAGACTCAGAAGGTCATAGAGGATCAGAGAGGTGAGATGGCTTGCTCAGGTGGCATAGACTAGGAGTGGTGAAGCTGAGAACGGAACACAGACAATCTGACATCAAAGCTTATGCACTTCATACTAAGTCAATTTACAGAGTATAAACTCTGTGTGTATGGGAGAGTGATTGTTCCATTTCTTTACAACAATTTATTGAACTTGTTGACCGACTTCCTTTAGCTATAGACTACGGTCTACGTAGCTGTTAACCCTAATTAGACATGTTTCTAAAATGTCAGTTTTAATTTAACATATGATAATTCCATTATGAAATCTTAGACTGAACAGAATAGCTATTGTATGCGCCTCAAGTACCAACTGACTATAGGTTATTAAAAACATATTGATTGAAGCTGAGGGCACTATGTAATAGAGACATATCTCATTACACAACAATTAACCCTCCAATAGGTTTCCAACAATCAGATGGTATTTATTTAATGGACAATAACTGCTTTATGAAATACAAATTGAATACATACACAGGAAGCTTCATTTACAAAACTTCCATTTGTAAGTGGAATTGAGGCCAAGGCTTGACCAAGAGTCTGATACTTCTCATCGCCACAGAAAAAATAAATAAATCTACAGGCTGCTGGAAAGCCTGTTCTGAAGTGTCACATGAGGTTTCCCAAACCCAGCTCTGAGCTCCCAGTGAGGGTGGCTGAGGCAGGGGGAAGGGGGTTTCTACAGAGAGCCTAGGGACAGCATTTCCTTGCCCCTTGATCGCTTCACCCAGCTGCCAAAGGAACGTTCTAGATTCAGGGACTGATGGTAGTGTGGGCAATTACAGCCCAAATTTAATGTGGTGCCATGGTCTAATATATTTTTATACTGACACAAAATGTGCACACACACACGCACACATACATACGCACACACTGGTAAATGGGAGCTCCTTGCCAACTTCTGTGGTTCTTTTCAGGGGAGGGGGAACACCTCCTTCATAACTCGAGTTCTGGAAGGACTTAACAAAAGCAATGGGAACCTGAGACACAGTACTGCAAAATGTGAGTCGGAGCCCAGCCCCCAGCACCTTCTCTGGGCTCTTGTTCAAATATCTCAGCCTCTTTAAGCTCCAATTCCAGGCTTATCCAGCAAATGAAAAAGATGATTCCCCTTTTATAGAGTCACTGGAAAGATTAAGTGAGTACAGGATCCGACGCAGAGTAAGCACTTGATAATGACGGCAACCACAATAATAGAGTACTATTAATTAATCATTAGCTGGTTATTATTTTCAACATCATCAATGTTACATCATCATTATTGGATAAAGCACCCCCAACAAGAGCCGAGAAGGGTAATATACTATAATCCCTAAATTATAGCTAAATTCCAAGACAGGTGTCAATGGCTTAGTCCATCTCATGACCCTTTAAAATCTAGTTCCCTTTAAGCCTGAGCTCCTCAAGGGGTCTCCATGCTGAAAGGCACCACAGAGTCCATTTGATGCAGAGCTCCACCTCCCGGCCACGGAGGCATCATTAGACTGACTTTTCAGGGGAGGAGAATAAAACCCAGGGAAGGAAAGTGACTTCCCCAAAGCCACACAGGTAGTAAGTGACAGAATGGGGAGCAGGACTGAGGTATCTTGTGCCTCAGTATATCATTCCCTGGTCTTCTAAAAATTCTACCTTCGGTTCTACAAAGAAACCCTGGGCACAGTTCAAGATTCTAATTATGTATCTTATATACTTGCATGTGTATTCACATATCATATATGAATATGCACACATATATACACACACATATATATACATATATACATATAATATACCATATGTATATGAAGATGTTTTCCCACTGACCAGAGACAGTTTCAACTCCCAAGCTCATGGAGAGGAGACCAGTACCTCTATCCCAGAGGAGGTTCTGGCAATAGAGGATTCCAAATTTTCAATAATAAAATAAAGTTAAATATTCATTTGCTTAAAATATGTATTATTACTTATTACTTTCTATTAGCCATTGTTCATTTGTTCCCTGACCCCCAAATTTACAGCTTGCCTAGATGGCCCAGTCCCTGTGCTAGGTGGTGGTAGCAGCCACTGAACAAGAGCAAGGACAAAGAACACAGCAAAATCCCTCTACTAGGCCACTTCCCTTCCAAGTTTCCCTCTTCTTGGCAGGAAAGAGAGAGAGATCAACACTTCACAGGCCACACTCACCTTTCAAAGAAGTGGCCGTCGATGGGCGGGAACCACTCCAGCTTCACAGACTCGGTCGTGTGGCCCACAATCTGGGGGGCGAGGGCGACAGGCGCCGGTTTTCTGGAGGGCTGCCAGCTCTGGTACACCAGATCCAGGTAACAGTGCATTCTGGCGACTTGATTGGGCGTGAAGGAGTCCGTGCAGTCGTCATCTGCAAGTGGGCAGAGACAGAGATAAGAACCTGGCTGCACAGGCCGGCATGCGAGAGCATTGTGACGTCACCTGGTGGCCAGAGAGCCAGCACCCCAGTCCTTGCCAAGTCAGAGCTGGCCTCTCCCAGTGCTCAAGAGTTAATGATCTGTGAACAAATTAGGGTAGTCATCACTTCTGGACACAGGTGAGAGGGAACAGGAGGAAAGGGAGGCCGGATGGAACTGACAAAGTACATTTGAGACTGGAGAGTGAGCAACCCAGAGGTCACGGCTAAGGACAAGGGCAAGACAAGCTGCTCTCCTTGGGCTCCAAATCCTCCCAGTAATCCTAAATCCAGTAAGTCACACATTCCCTTATTCCTTCCCTCCCGCACCACTCATTCAATATCTCTCATTCATTCATTCATTCATTTGCTTGTTTATTCACTCATTCCTTTATGCGTTCACTTCCTCCTTCTCTCATTCCTTCACGTTCTTTCATCGACTCATTCATTCATTCTGCTATTTATTTATGGAGTGACACTGTTCTTCAAACAAACCTTCTGAGCATCTATTACATATTCCCTGCTCAGTGCCAAGGGCCACAGAAAGATGAAACTGAAAACATTCCTGCCCTTGAAGAGTGACCAGTCTATTGAAGGCCAGTTTGTTGTATGAGTCAAGGTTATTACAAGGGCATTAAACTCTGTGATGCTGACCGCTGATAAATAGGAGACAGCGTGTTGCGGAAGGAGGGTAACCCAGAAAGGCTTCTGAAGAAGCAGATACTTGAGGTCTACCAGATGGCATAGCTAAGATTGGGAAAGAAGGTTGAAGGATTGCAGGGGAGGGAGCTGGAGGACCATAGAGGCATGGTGTCCTATGCAGTCAGCGCAGGCCATAGAGTCAGGCTGACCTAGGAAGAATCCAGCCTCAGTGTCCATGCTGGGAGTATGAGGACAATGACACCTTCCACACAGTACTGTCTTTGGGACACTTACCTTGTGCTTAGTATGACCAGGCATGAGGTACTGTGCTCTGGACACATTTAACTCTCCCACTATTTTTGGAGTAAATATTATCATTTTCTCCATTCTACAGAAGAGGAAATTGAGGCTGAGAGAGGCTAAGCAGCTTTTTTAAGATCACAGAGCTAGGGACAGATCTGAGATTCAAACCTGGGAAGTCAAGACTCCAAGGCCAGGCTTCTAATCAATAGGAGAACTTCTGTCTGAGTGTAAATGAGAGCTTGTATGGGTAAAGTATCCTGCAGGTGCTTGATAAACAGCAGTTGAGCCTGAGTCTGAGGAAGCCAGAATACAATCTCTTAAATGTCTTCAAATCTAATGACCTTCAGTCCTACTCTCCCTTTTCTATGATGCCAACTGAAGGCCGTGACCCAAGACTCGCCCCCCCTAGGAAGAAGCTTGCCTCCCATCTCTCCCTTCAACAGCTTTGTTCAGCTGCCCCAGAGGCAGGGCAAGGCATTGTTTTGGCTTGGTTTCCAAAAACACCACTTCCCAGAGGTGTCTGCCTGGTCGGGGTTTCTGCAGCTGGGCCCCAGACGGAGGAGCCCCGGGCTCGCCAGATATTAAAATAAATCCAGCACTGGGAATCCTGCAGTGTAAACTCACTTCCCCTTATCAAACAAACAGAAAATAAGTTTGGGCGAATGCTGGGCAGTTGGACGTGACCTTGAGAATCTAGCTCGGGCAAAGGACGGGGGTTCAAGGACGGGGGTACACAGAAGCTGCCTCCAATCCCCTTAGTAGTTTTTGACAGTCTCCTTTCCACCACACTGGGGAAGTCCTTCATATATGTGGAGGAAGTGGAAGAGCCTGGTGTCCCTTAGCAAGCACTAGTTGCATAAATCTCTCTCAAGCACAGATGCCACCATGTAACTCCTTGGATACCAAACATTCTATGGCTCCCCATTGCCTGGAGTCCAAATGTCTCAGTTTGGACATGTTTTTCTTGGTTGCTATGAACTTTACACTTCATCCCTAAAGCCTTGGAAAAGCCACCGGATAGGGTAGATGCAGGAGAAGGGTATGATGGCTAAGGAAATTGGGCTATATAGTTAGATTAGTGCATGAAGGATCTGGAGTGAAATGGGCAAGATATTTCATGCTGTCAGTGTCTCAGTTTCCCCTCCTGTAAAGTGGAAATGATGACAACAAGAGTGCTTATTTCAGAAGACAGCTGCAAATTAAGGAGAGTGGAGCACCAAGAACCATAATAAATGCTCAGTACATGCTCACTGTCTCATGATTGGGCATAGTGCTTGTGTGTGTGAGTGCTGGAAAACAGGAAGCAGAAAAAAAAGGAACAAAAAGTATTCATTCTCTTTGATCTAGCAATATCACAGTTAGGAATTCAATAGTAGATATTTGTGAATAAACATGGGAAACATATACGTACAGGGATTTTTTTGAATCATCATTTATATAGTAAAAATATTAAAAATACCACTTTAATAGGGGAATCACCGTGTATGTTAAGGTGCATGCATAGACTACAATACGAATCAGTCATTTCCAAAAGAAGGAAGTAACTTTAAAACTCGGGTCTCTCATGTATAAATTGAAGACATTAAATCAACCCCACTACACAGAGGATTCAATGAGCTGAAGCACATGAAGCATTTATCAAGATGAATGGAGACGGAAAAGGAGTACTTTTTTTCTCTATACACTCTGATTTGTTCGCTTTTCTCTTCCCAAAGAAGTGAATTTTCCCTTTATAACTTAAAAATTAGCCATTTCTATGTTGTTCAATAAAAAAGCATTTGAAAAACGAGTAGGTGATAGAATCTGGCAGGGGAACAGGAATCTATCTGAACTTTAAAGCTGAAGGCAGAAACTATCTACCCCAGGGTCCATCCATCACTTAGAGACTTAGTTGCTATCAGAATCTTGGGTGAGGTACCAAAGGGTTTTCCGTTTATCACAAATGCTCCATCTCAATTAGCTAATGTCTAGAGCCAGCCCCGCTTGGCTTCTTGCCTCCACACTCTTCCCCTCCTGACATCCGTGGCTACTTGATCCCAGTTTCCAGGACCAGCTAGCCCCACCCTGTTCTTCTGTCCCCATCTTGTCCCTAAGCAGAAAGGACTTGGGGGATTTCAGCGCCTTGGGAGCCTGAATCAGTCTCCATGCTGTTGATGTTGTGTCCTGAGTTTGCTAACTGGACTTTGCTCTCAAGAACACATCTCCATCTGCAGCTGGGAGGCCACAAAGCACGGAGGTTCAGGGCATGGAACTCGGTACCTCCAGTCCCTCTGGAACCTGGGCAAAATGCTGACCCTGGACAGCCTCATCTTCACCCACTGTAACATAGGGAGCAATGATGCTACCTGCCTCCTAAGGCTGAGGAGAGCATTTAACTAGCTAACCCATGTCTAGTGCAAGAATAACCAAGTTGCCCTTTGTAAAAATCCATATTTTTCTGTTGTTTTAAAAATAATGATAATAATAGTAATAACAATAAATGATCATATCCACTGTAGAACATTTGGAATCTGTCAAAAATGTTACAAAGAAATAAATATCACCCTAAACTCATTACCTAGAGATAATACAACTAATATTTAGTGTGTATGTATTCACATGTCTATGTGGATATCTACAGTGAATTTCTATAATTCTCATCATCACAAGCATATATATCACAAATAAGTATATTTATATTTAATATATATTTATAAATATTTATTTATATTTTATATTTATTTATATATATTTCTATATATACAATATATATGCCAGGTCTGACACGACACATAAGGCTCTGGACTGTTTTCATGTTAAGTAGTTAACAGATAATCCTACTAGTTGTCATTTATTGAGCACTAGTTATGGTACCAAGGACAGTTCTTAGTTATTTACCTGTATGATTACAGATACTATCACACAAGCTAAGTATGAGGATCCTCCACAGTACAGACGAAGTAACTGAGGCTCAAAGAGCAGCAGTAATTTGTCCAGCGTCAAAGGCTAGCACACGAAGGATTCAAGTTTGGTCCCCAGCCTCCAAATTTCATGCTCTGTACCACTATGTTACTCTTGCTTCTATCCGTGCCCCTCAATCGTCTTCTGTGTCACCTTTAGTAGCCACATAATGCTCTATCATATGGATGCCTTGTGACTTATTTCAGCAATTTATTCTCTTTGGGCTGTAAGCAGTTTCCAATTGTTCACACATAGAAGCATTTTTCTTCTCTGCCTGGCAGATAGTAAATGCCTAATTAATATTTGGAGGATGAAGAGTGTTAAGAACATTCTTAGGACTAAATCTTTAAACACATCAACTGATTTAGTTTCTGAGGATAGATTCCTTAGAGGTGGGATTTCTGGGTCAAAGCATATGTGCATATTACATGGTCCAGGGGGTCTACCCGGTGACATAGTGGTTGGGTTTGCACACTCCACTTCAGTGGCCCAGGGTTTGCAGGTTCGGATCCTGGGCACGGATCTGCACACTGCTCATCAGGCCATGCTGTGGTGGTGTCCCACATACAAAATAGAGGAAGACTGGCACAGATGTTAGCTCAGCGACAATCATCCTCACACACAAAAAAGGCCCTGATACACAGAAAGATAGTAACAAGACACTGGAGAAGGTCTGGCTTCCATGCTCTTAAGGAGGCCCTGATGAGAGGGTACTCTTGGTGGGCTGCCTATGGCGTACTATCTTCAGGAAATGGAGTCCAAGCTGCTACTCTTCTACCTGCTCAGAGTTTATCTGACAGTTGAGCGTGACCACACTCACCTGTGCTCAACTAGGCTTGCTCCCATCAGCTGCCTGGTGCCTGATTGATCTGAGCACACGGGACCCTCTCAACCTTCCCTAGTATCAGAAAGGGAGCCAGATAATTACTGATTAATACCACAGGCTCCACAGTAAGAAAAGCTTGCCTTATTGCTGTGTGCCCTGGGAAAGCTATTTAAGCTACCTAAACCACACTTTCTGCATCTGCAAAATGGGTGTGATAATAACAGCGCTTACCTCATTGGATTATTTTGAGGATTTTATGAGACAAACCTATGAACTGCCTTGGCATATCATAGGCACTCAATAATTACTGCATGTATGCACTGACCAATATGGCAGCCACCAGCCATGTGTGGTTATATCAATTTAAACTAATTAAAATTACTTAAGACTAACCATTCAGTTGCTCAGTCTTACTAGCCATGTTTCAAGGGCTCAGTAGCCACATATGGATAATGGTTATCATACTGGACAGCACGGACACAGAACATGCCCATTTTTACAGAAAGTTCTATTAGATAGCACAGCACTAGACTCTTCACCCAGCTAGAGACCAAGCCTGAGGAAGAAGCACCCAGGAAGGAAGGATCCAGAAGCAGTGGACCCAGTATAGTCTCCACCCTCTTGCCTTGACAGCAGAGCCCTTGTGCATCTCTCTCCTCAGCCCTGAGAACCCGATTTCGTTCTGCATTTTGAATTTCATCCAGCTGCTTTTGTCACCTCATCTATCAGAGATCCTAAGGAAAACAAACATTTCAAAGCTCGTGGTCGCCTTGAATACGCTTTTGCGGGTGTAAGTTTGTTATCGTAGCTCAGTGAATTAGTTCTGCTGTTAATGGGTCACTGAGCTGAGGGGTTCCTTTAAAAAACAACAGTAAATCAATCACCCTTTAGATCTGTACAAAGGGGAACAAAAAAAGATTTAGTTTATGGGGGTCTGGTAGCTAGTGGCAGCTCCTAGGCTTCTAAGAGGCCGGCAAACTTCCAAACTCATGTTATTGTTTATTTTCCATGTGCATTGAGCTGGCCAAGGAAAGGTGCTACAGAAATGGAACGTAAGCAGGGCTGTGTGAGGGGACAGGGCACCGGATGTGGGATGTCAGCTTGGCTGGGAATGGGAGTCCAGTGGGAATCTGCTTTTGAGGAAATACCCAGCACTCTGGTCTTTTATAGAGACCTAAACCTAAAGACCCTTTATGGTGCCAAGGGTGGGTTGCCAACCCTTCAAGAGACCTCAGGTTTGAACTGTATGAATCTTAAACCGGAGAGGCCCTCAGAAGTCATCAGCCCAGATAGGAAAGCAGGAAGACCCAATGGGGATCATTGAGTTCATTGGGTTTCAGTAGGGAAATCCTCTCTTCAAACGCAATCTGAGGCAAAACCCCAAAAGAAATGAAAAACTGTTAGAAGGGGGCTTTCCTGGTTCAAGGGGAGGTAGAGGCCTAGAACTCCTCTCACAGAGCCACTTGGGGAAGCCCGCCAAGGCAGACCTGTGAGACAGAGTGCCAAACCCACCCAAATTGCTCAATATCCCACTCAACCATCAGCTAGGCCTCTTTTGAAGAGTGTCACAAAAGTAAAAGAGAAAAAAAACAATACTTGGCATCATATGTGTGACCTGGGGCAAATGACTTTGGTGAACCTCGCTCGGCACTGTCATCTGTAAAACGGGGATAGTTCTTACTCCATAGATTTGTGTGAGAATTAAATGAGACAGTGTGTATTAAAGTCCTTTGTGAATAAAAAACTTTTACAGAAGTAGAGATATGGTTATTGACAAGAATCGATTTTATATACCTGTTCTAAGAGAATTTATTCATCTTCTTCCCTTACTGCCTCTCTCCCTCCATTCCTCTCCCCCTCCTTCTCTTTCTTCCTAACAAACATCTATTAAGTATCAGACCCTATGCTAGGTGCTGAGGATACAGGGATGTACAAGAGCCATTCTCTGCCTTCACAGAACTCACTTGTTTTAGTTGGGGAAAGAGACATCTAAATTGAATATTACAATAGAATTTGACACTGGGTTACCATGTGCAATTTTGTGGATCATGTCTTACCCAAGGACTGTTGGCTTAAGGGGCCAGTGGTGAGGGCTCTGACTGCGCTGAGGAAGGGGTATCTTGTTCTAATTTGCCAAACATGCTATAAGAGCTAGAAGTGGCCTTGATATTTGCTAAAAGAAAGTACAGGTATCCTAGAAGCCAAAGAATGAGTCCTTAAAAAAGGGCGCTGATAGGATATACGCAGTTGGGAGAAAACCACACCCATCTCGTGTAATAATTTCATATTTGCAAAACCAAAAGCATACTCTTTTTTTGATAATAAAACATCAGAGTGTGAGAGTTTTGTGTTTTACAAAAAGATTCAACAACCATTTGCTTACAAATATACAGCTGCCAAATTAGGAGGAAGCATGGAGATCAAATCCAAATAGAAATTTTCTTGAGAAAAGTGAGCCCAGCAAGGACACATGGCAGACCCAAAGGTGTTAAGTAACCTAGTGGCAGAGTTAGGTCTTCTACTCAGGTTTCTTGACTTTCAGTCCTAGTCAACTTCCTAAAGTGTCATCCTGAGGAACTTTCAGATACAGCATCTTCCTCATACTCCTGAGCTGCTCATGGAAGGAATATTATCTCGATTGTTTGGGATGAGGAATTGTTGGGATGAAGAAGTCTTAGAGAATGTAAGCAGCTTGTTCAAGGCTACTCTGAGCCAGGAGTGGAGCCCACATCTGACATCCAGCCCCAAGCACGCTACAGAGTATATGGCCCTACCTGCGTAGCTCATGAAGTTGTTGAAAGGAGTGTTGAAGAAGCTATGAAAGCCACAGGTGTCATTCCCTGGTCCCGGGTCGCCGCAGAACTTGTGTTTCGGGGCTGGGTTGGTGTCACTGCAGAGGTCTCCGGTCTCAAAGGAGGGCTCTGTCTCCATGCAGGGGTCGCTGCAAGACTGGATTTCCGAGATACCTCGGAAGATGTGGTAGAGGCCCAAGCTGTGCCCGATCTCATGGATCATGGTGTGGGTGTGCCCGGGAATGCCGTAGAAAGATGGGTTCAAGACAATGCCACCTGCAAGGAGAAAACCAGAGCATTAAGCAAGCTGGGCATTGTGCTTCCTAGTGCAGGAATCCCCAAACCAATCAAGGGCAAATGGGGTGCTTCCCAAAGTAAACACAGGTTTCTCCACCCTATGACTCCACTACCCTGAAAGCTGTTATGACTTGTGCTATGAATCATCAGTGGAGTAGGAAGGAGTCTCGAAAGTCATTTTGTGCAATCCCCTCATTTTTCAGATGGAAACACTAAAGCTTAAAGAGGTGAGGCAACTTATCTAAGGTGACTTCAAACCACTTAACAGGAATGGCATGATTAGGATTCAAGGACTTCGATTTCTGGCCTGGTAAACATTTCTGCTGCAACCTCTTCCCTAGAAAGAAAGGCACACCCTGATTTACAAACATTCTAAGTGCTTTTGTTTAAAGGAAGCCCTCCTAGTCAGACACCTCGGTTCCAGGTTTCATTTTGCCTTCACCAACTCTGGGACATTGAACAAGTCCATTACTGTCTCTGAACCCCACTGCTTCACTTCTGTACTCAATGAGCATGAACATCCATGAAGGTCAGCACCACGTCGTGTCCACCATTATAACACTGATCCTAGTAGCCAATGTTTCTCGAGTGTTTATTAAGTATCCTCAGGCCTTGTGCTGAGTGCTTCACATGTACAATCACACTTCATCATTTCACAACCCCATGAGAGAGCCATGGATTCATGAAGAGGTGAAGTAACTGACCCATGATCAAGAATCAGTAAGTGTGAAGCTGGAATCTGAACCCAAGATCCTTGGGTTCTAAAGCCAAGGCTCATAATCTGAGTTCTACTGCTAATGTGTATCACAGGGCCCAGAATATGGCATCTCATTCAATGCATGTTGAATATTGGCTGAATGCTGACCCAACTAAAGAAGTTTCCTGAGATCTAACTAATGACATGTAAGCAGCCAGCATAGCGCTTGACATACAGTGAGAACCTTACTTACTAACTACTTGCCTCTCAGAGTGAGGCACCCAGAAGGTGATTAGAAACGCAGAATCTCAGGTCCCATCCCAGACATACAGAATCAGAGTCTGTATTTTGACAAGAGCCTCAGATGACTTGTCTGTATGTTCTAATTTGAGAAGTGGTGATCTGCTTCACACGTCTTCGAAGATCGAGGATTGCTTAGCTTGGGGAGATACATGGAAGAGATCTCAGTAGAACCAATGGACAGCATTTTTCCCTGTTCATTCTAGGCAGTGGAGAAATATGTAGAGGCTGGCAGAAAGAGATACTTAAATTTTAAAATCCAAGTGTGTTTAAGGGAGGGTTAAAATTCAGGTCTGAGCACCCTGCAAGTAGTAACTAAGTGCAGAGCAGCGTCTTAACAAAAGAATGATGAGGAGGCAGGACCTTGCTGATTTGTACTGGCAAGCCTGAAGGAGGCGTGGGGGGAGTTTTATCTCAGATGGAACTGGCGGGAGGGCGAGCTTGCTCAGTCATGGGGCTCACGGAGTCTATTAATTCTGAACTGCTCAGAGCCTTCTAGCACAAAGATAAAGACGTATGAGAGGGTGTGTGGGGGTGTGTGTGCACGCGCACGTGTGTGTGAGAAGGGGCAGGCAAAGGCAGGGAGGAAGAGAAATTGAGACAGGAAATCTCTCTCAATTATTTTCTGTCAATCATAATATGAAACATAATCCCCTTCCCACCCAAGGCTTCTTCCAGAGATCATGGTGGAACAGCAGAAAAAAAAAGAAAGGGTAAAAAAGAATGGTTCTAATAAATTGGGTTGATTGGGGCACCTTGCAGAGGAATTGCTCACAATCACCATTTCTCAGGATGGGGAGGTGGCAGCCTGGATGTCAGCTGGAATTATCCTGACACTGGTTGCAGTCCTCCTTCTGCTTTGCCGTCCTCCTTCTGCTTTGCCTTGGCTGTGTGATCTTGGGAAAGTGACTTTACATCTCTGGTGAGCTCTAAAATAAACAGCTGTAATAACGCCAGTGGTTCTCTGTCTGTCCATGAGGTTTCAACACTGAAGTAATGCTGGGGGGGTGGGGGGTTGGCAGTGGGCAGGACCCCACAGGCATTTCCAGGGATCATGATAGGGTTGCAGACTTAATGTCCAGGCTGGCTCTATTTGTTTTACCTCATCCCCTCCCAATTCACCCCTCTTCACAGAGCGACAGCACAGGGCCCGAATCTTGTTTCATTGCTTCTCTTAAAAGGTGAAATAGCTTGAGCCTGACATCATCCTGAAATACTATAACATGCTATGGATTTATAGCCTTCCGTATTCCTGGTCCTGAGCCAGTCTCTGAAATTCGTGGAATTATCAGGAGCATTTTCCCCTAACTTTAGAAGCCTGCTGTTCAACCTTTCTAAGATTCTGATCAAGGCCCTTTTGGTTGCTTTTCCAAGAGGACAGAATTTCAGCACTGAGAAGGGTCCCTGGAGGCCGTCTAGTTTGACCTATTCATTTAAAATCTGAGGAAATTGAGACCTGGGGAAGGAAAGAGACTTGCCTAAGGCCATACTGCTAAGTGAAGTCGCAGCTGAGAAGGACCATGTATTCTGGCTCTAAGCCAGCATGATTTCTGTACATTACACTAGGCACGTGATGCAAGCTGATCACCTTCAAGCTTGCTTAAGTTGCACACTCTCTTTGTCCAACCCCTGTTTGTCTGTGTCTGTCTGCCCATCTATGTATCCATCATCTATCTCAGAATTTCTCAACCTCAGCACTACTGATGTTTTGGACTGGATAATTCTTTCTGGTGGACATTGAGGGGACTAGCAGCATTGCTGGCTTCTACCCACTAGATGCAGTAGCATTCCTCATTTGGAAAATCCAAAAATATCTCTAGACATTGCCAAATGTCTCCTAGAGGATAAAACCCCCCAGTTGAGAACCACTAGATAGTTGTCTTTTTATCTGTCTGTTTACACAACCACACACATGTGAACACACACCCACAAATTGGTCTCATTCTCTTAAAAGCAATTGGGAAATGACAGCAAACTGGAGGAAACTAACTTTAGAGTTTTATTCAGCACAACATCATTGTCTGAAGTTGCAGAGTCCCTCATCTCCAAGATATCGGAGGTTTAGAGCAGCTACTGCACTCCGGGTGTAGCACTGAGAGACCAGGCAGAATGAGGAAACATCCAGTAATGTCACTCTGCTGGGCTCTACCATTCTCAGATGGAGATGCCCATTGAATCATCACTATTCATTGGTGTAAATAATAGGAACATTCTATTGAGGGGAAAATGGTTAAGCAAATTGCAGTGCCCTCACTCAACGGAATATTACGTGGCCATTAAAAATCTCATCTTTCAAAAAACACAAATAACCCAGAGTGACACTTTTCTCTTGTAATATTAAGTGAAAAAAGTTGGATGGGAAGTAATTGTGAAGACTGCTATAACATGGAAAAATTTATATAGCACAATATAAAGTGAAAAAAGAACACAAAATTGCATCTATGCTATGATTCCAAGTATGCATAAGTTAAAAAAGACGTCTACATATAGACGTGTACTGGAAGAGAGCATGGAAAAATCAAAATTAAAGAACTACGATGTTTACTTACAGGGCCTGGTTCAGAAACCATTGTCATTTCTGAGTTTTGGTGATTGTTTTGTATAAACACGTGTCTTGTTTATGGATATGCATAATTTGAACGTAAGAAGAGTTCCTGGTGTTGTTTGTGGGTGGAACATGGAAGAACAAGGAGTTCTTACAAACTCACTTTCTCTTGCCCCTTTGGTGTCTTTCAAACCAACACGACTAGCTGTGCCAGCATGATGTGCTTACCAGGCTGAGAAGATATTTGCATAAACTAAGATGCAAGGGGTATCAGGAGAAAGCAATCAATGAACAGAGTTGGCAACTTGAATTTCAACCGTGACTCTGCCACTGACTTGTGTGTGACCTTGAATAAGCCCCATTCCCTCTCTGGATCTCAGTTTCCCCACTGGTAGAACAGGGTTAACAATATTGTGTTATTTTTCAGAGCATTGCTTGATAGTTGAAAGATAAGGAAAGCTAAAGAGTTTTGTAAAATTAAAAAATGATAAATAAAAGGGTTGTTCACTGTCACCACTACCACCGCCACCATCATAATCATGATCCACCTCATCATCATCGTCAGTATGAAATTTATTCCTGTTCTAATCCAGCTTCCTCCTGAAGAAGTTTCTAATTCTCACCTAAGTGCATTAGGGCCTCCTTGTCCCATGGCCAAGTTGCTACTCCCGCCAATTCCTCCTCCGAGGAGTTTGCAAAGAAGATATTGAGGTGTGTTGATCCATCCAGTCTAAGAATGTTCTTCAATTCATTAACATCCAAGTATGCTCTGTAATAGAAAAAGAACCTTGGCTGTCATCACCATCCAAAAAAGGTACTATTCAAATAACAGGTACTCCTCAATTAATTAAGAGCTACTCTGTGCCAGGCACTTGGCTAAGCACTTTATAAACATCACCTCATCGACTTCCCCCAAAATTATCATAAGGTAAGGGTGATGATCCCATTTTGAAGGTAAAAAAATTAAGTCCTTGTGAGTTTAAGAGACTTGATAAGATTGCTTGGCTTATAAATACCACAGTTCAGTTTAGAACCCATATTTATCTAAGATCAACATCTGCGCCCCTAAGGACTCTGCTGTATTGACTGATGACAGGGCCACATAAAGTAGATATAGACCAAGAACACAGATCATGAAAGAGACAACATGTATTCTAGTATTGGCTTCTTCCCTATTTCACTCATTCATTATGGACCTCGGACCATTTATTTGGCAAATACAGAGTGGCACTAAGAGGCTTGCTTTGCATCTCTATACCAACCTTGCAAGGAGGCCTTATTACTCTGTTTTCAAGATAAGCAACATGGGGCCCAGTGTGATTAAATAGGTTGCCCAAAGTTGCAGAACTGGGTTTCAAAGCCAATTCTGTCTAGCTTGAAACCTATGCTCTTTTCACCGGGGCATCACGCTGCCTCCCGTACATGATTCTGCATTCTGTAAGCCTCTATTCCTTTGTCTGTAAACTAGATTAGAAAGGGATATTGTATTTGGGGTGGCTGCTGTTGTAGAGTGACATATCTGGAAAGTGAATTAATTCCCCCTGCTACAAGCGTCAGCTCTTTAATACACGGAACAAACACATGTTGGAGAGAGAAATAAATGGTATTTGGAAAGAGACTGGCATATGTTAGGTGCTCAATAAATAAGAACTCTTCCATTGTAGAGTATGGCTCTGCCATCAGAAGAGAAATGGTAAAGCTTTGGATCAGCCACAGGTTTATTATTCAATGGATTATTTTCTAAATAGAGAGAGGCACCTTGCTCCCCTCTCCTGTTTCGTTCAGCCCCATTTTATGTCCACCATCATGTATCTTATCTGTGAGCCACTGATAATCATTTCTTGAGTAAAGTTGGAAGTGAATAAAAACATACATAAATAAGCAAGCAGGCAGCTTGAGGTAGTAGGTGAGACAAAGTCTAAGAATAATGATATTTAATGTTTGTTGGGTCCTTCTACACGGTCCTGGTTTACATAGATTATCTCCTCTAATCTTCTTAATAACACTGAGGTAGGTAGAATTATTATCCCCATTTTCCAGAGGAGGAAAAAGAGGCTTAAATAATCTTCATACCTTGCTAAAGTCACACAGTTAGTTGGAACTGTTTTCCTTTGTCCTAATGCTGTCTCTCCATGGGGAGTTGGCACAGTGCCTGGCCAGTAGAACACTAATGACGGTTCCCTTCTCTCTCACTCCCGAAGTCATAGAAGGGCCTCCCCATAAGTGAAAGAGTAAAGTCCAAGCTCCCCAGCATGCCCTCAAGACCCTGCCTCCCCATTTAGCATCATCTCTTTCTGTTCCCTCTCTTGAATTTCCCACTTTACGTTGGCAGCACTCACCATGATGTACTATCCTCACTGCCTTTACTCGTGCTGTTCCCTCTGTCCGGGACTCTGCTTCCCATTTTGTTTCTGATGAACAAACCCAAAGTCTGTTCTGGTACCATTCCTCCAGGAAGACTTGCCTGATTCCCACCTCACCTTCACCCCCTTGACCTTCTCTGTACTCATCCACCTCCTATTTGTATGTACTCTCACTTCATTCCAAATAATCACTTCACCTTCTATATCTATCACTGTTTGTGGCTCTCTGGAGGCAGGGAATGTGCATTATTTATCTCTGTTGACCCAGTTCTCAGCACAGAGCTTGACACGGGATGAGTATTCAGTAGATGCTGATGGAGTTGAATTTACATGGCGAAAGAGAAAAGTTAAAATATTTAGGTCCCAGTTTCAGTTTCAGCACTTCTTTCCTATGAGGACTCAGTTTCCTTATCAGTACTCTGGGTTTCAGAACAGCTGCCTGGTGCTTCACAGAGCACTTCTGTGGATCACAAACCTATACGTTTACTACGCTAGACTAGGATATGTCTGAAACCTAAAGAGCCCTCCTGGCCACCCATGTCATCAAGAGCCTATAACTGGTCACATGACCATAATTTTTCTGGCTTTTCAAAAACAGGTTAACATGAGTTGGAGATACAGGCAAGGCCAGGAGAGGTTACATCTATGTCTGGGTTGAACTGACTAATTCCAAGGACAGCTGCACAAGCTCAGATATTGACCTGAAATCTTGCTGCTGTGCCTTCTCTCTCCCGAGATCCCACCTTCAGCTTCCTAGATTGGAAGCCTCACAGGGAGTTTGAACTAGTGATCAGAAAAGGAAAAAGCCAGTATTTATTAAGCACTTTCTGTATGCCAGCCCCTGTGCTAGCTACACCTGTTTCCCATCTTTGTCCATTCTTTGAAGCCATGCAGCAGGGTGGGTGAGAAGGCTTGTTATCAATCCAGAGTCCTGGGTTTGAATCCAGCGCTTCCACTTGATGTTTGGGTCACCCTGGGCAATTTACTTGGCTTCCTGTGCCCCTGTTTCTATATACACAAAACAAGGATGACAATAATGTTAACCTCATAGAGTTGTTCAGAGGATTTGGGACATTACTAAAGGAAGTCTAAAGGGCTTGGAATAATCCGTGGCATGTAGAAAACCTCGATAAATGTTTAGCTGTTCCTATTATTTATCCCCATCTTACAGATGAAGGAACAGGGGTTCAGAGATCATATAAATAGTGACAAGGCCAAGTGCAAATCTAGACGTGTCCAGCTCTTCCCACAGCCTCACCCTCATTTCCAAGCTCACTCAGGGCCTCTGTGAAAAGGGAAACAATGCGTGGGAGGAGAATGAAAACACAGAGAAGCCGAGAATTTCTTGGATCAGCCCTTTCCACATTATTTATTATTTTCTAATTGATCTGTCCATTTCCATCAAGCCTTATCCCAGGCAGAGAACACAAATGTTATTAGAGAACATCACCTCTTTGCCCCATTGCTTTAGGCTGAGGAAGCTTCAGGAGAGGAAGAGACGGGTGGGGGGTAGGGGTGGGGGCAACACTTTAACTGGTTGTTTATTCAGTTGTAATTGCAGAAACCAATCTTTTCAGGGGGTGGTATTCATTCTGGCCCAAGGCAGAGATGTGGGATGTTGAAGCCTCTCTCGCTTGTTTGTATGTGGGGTTTTTTTTTTCACACTTTGAGAAGCCTTCATTTCCCAAAAGAGGCAGAACCACAGCAGCCATCCAGGCCCCTGGCCCACTGGCCCCTGTCCTCTCCCCCTCTTTTGGGGGGACCCACCCAAAGGCAAACAGCTCTCTGGCTAAAAGTTTTCCTTTTGCTGGCTGAGGTCTTCCCACCAATTGAGAGCCAAGCTGGTTACCTCTCAAATGTATCAGGGGAAAATCGTGCAGACAGGAGTCCATGTGGATATTACCTCCCTCCTCCCATCTCTTTAAAATAATGTTTATTCCCTCTGTCAATGGATGGATGAGAAAGCGCAGGAGGCCAACTTGAGCAGGACCATTAGAGTCTAGGAAATTGATGATGGGAGAAGGAAAAGGACTTGCTCAGGGCCACTTGGCTTTCCATTTTGCCACTTTGTGAAGGTTGGCCCTCTGTGTATATTCTAAATTGGTCAAATTTATTTTTAAAAAAATCATTACCCCAGGAAAATCGATCCAAATTCAAAACTCTATGTGTTTAATAAATTATGTGCCAGTACTGCTGTGAATTGGATGGACAGACCTATGTCCATGGACAAGTTACCTTACCTCTCTGAGTCTGTTAGCTCATGGGGATACCAGGTGGATTATGAGAGACAGGTCAGCACAGTCTTGGCCCACACTCTCCTCCGCATCCTGTTCCCCTATTTTCTCCTACTGGGAAAAACCTAAACTGGCAGTCTGCCTTTGGGAGGCTCTCCTAGTCTTGCCTTTTAGCATCTGATCCCCAGCTTTTCTTCAGCATTTCATCAACCAACCTTTTTCTTCCTCCTGCAGGCTCAACCACTCAAGTTCTCAGGGTTTCCTCATCCCAAGAACCTCTGGTTTTCCGCAATTATGCCCACTCCTTAAGCATGTCCATTAGTTTCTTTCCTCTGCCTCACAACCTTTCTTCCTGAATCTCAGACTTTTAAAATCTTATCCTCCCTTCTAAGCCCAGCATACATGTAATGTACTCCATCTATCCACTCCTGACCATCCTCACCTCTAGAATGGGATGATCATGTCCATCTCTCATGGTTGTTGGGAGGCAACACAGAGAAAGTGCCTTGCACGTAGAGGCACTCATGATTAGTGTAGGCTATTTTTGTTGCATTAGTGTTATTACAATGATAATTATTAGCAACACTGAAATCATCTAGTGGAAAATGGTTTCTTCCTCCTCAGAACCCCCTACATTTGATTCTAGTATTTTCCACTCTGCTTTGTATTATTTCATTGTGTCAGCACCTGTCTTCTCCATCAGGCTATGAACTTCAAGCAAGTGGGGGCCAATCCTTTATCATCTCTGTGTTCCCTAAAACTTTCCTTCAAGAGAGAGCTACCACTGATTGGCAGCTATTGAGCACCTCTCTTAAACTGCATAACTTCAAAACAGGATGAAGAAGCCCAGGGCTCAGGGACGTGAAGCGACTTGCCTGAGATATCAAATCAGGGGCACAGAAGGGCCTGACAACAAGCCTTTATCCACTAGCCTGTGCGTGGCAGCACTTTTATACCAATTGGTAAAGTTGCTTTTTCCTAGCGGTAGACATAGTTCCTTGCAAGGGTGCATAGCTTGGAGAGTCAAGCATGAGATGGACTGCAGCCCCCATGTTCTCATTCAGCTGGACACCTCTGTGCAGGGCTTGCGTTGCCTAAATTTCTAGCCTATTCCCACTATCTTCTGCTGCCTGGTCTGCAGCTCAGAGTGCCCATCTGTTCAGTGAGCTTGT